TGACCCAGCAACTGCAACTACTAGTATGTGTGTAGGCTGATGAGGGGGACAAACAGTCCTGTTGCACTGGTGAGCACAGAGTCAGGTCTGGGATCACCTCAGAGAGGGTTTCTTATGGAATCCCCCCAACTGAACCACAGGATTCAGAGCTCCAACCACTGGGAGAATCACAGGATCTGTGGCCTGATCGTTGGAGTGCATGTGTCAGAGCTGGGCCTCCTCAGTGGCTTGGACAGATCAATGGACAGCATATCCAGATACACATGGAGGATATGGCAGTCCATTGGAGTCCACAGAGCATATCTGTTACCTTAACAGAAGAGGGAAGGCAAACAATTTGGTCAACTACCCCAGTCAAGTGCTGGCAGCAAATATCTGAGCAAATAGAGACTCTAAGGTGAACTATGTCAGCCAATGGACCTTGGAAGGATTTCCTCATTCTTGGAACAACAAAATCAACAGCATTTCAGACCACTGAACTACTGAAACCACTTGAGCAGAACCCTCAGAGCATGCTCCATGCTTGAGAGATCTGGGATGACATTGGATGGCCACTCCCCATCCCTGGGTACTGAGGCAACTGGGAGGCAGCATCTCCCCTTCTCTTTCCCTCTCCCACAGATACAGGAAGAAGAAAACAAGAATATGTGGAAACAACGGTCTCATCCACTTTCCCCTGGTCCTCAGCTCTTCCCACCCAAATAACCTAGGTAAACATCATCAAAAATAAAGTTTTAAAAATTAACTCTATACAGTTTCTATTTTTCATATATCAGATTAGCAAAAATTCCAAATTTTGATAATTACACTAGCTTAAAAGAGAGCGGGGAAACCATCTTACATAATGAAATGAGACCATATTATTGATAGAGCAGCAGCTACCAGACATTTTCATATATTTTAATATGTTTCCAGATTTCTCCTAGAGGAAAATTCTCACTGTCCCAAAGCTACATGTATACTAAGATAGTCTCCACAGCAGGTACTATTACAGAAAGAGTCAGTCAGTGGCAGATCAATTCAATTTACTGCAGCTCATCCATACAACAAAAATGAAGGTATTTTTGAAACATTTATTTTTTAAAGGCAGAGAGACATAAAGAGATGACAGAAACAAAACAAACCAAAAAATCCCACCTTACAGTACACACCCAAACGTCCACAACAGTTGAGGCTCAGCTAGGCTGAAGCCAGAAGCATAAAACTCAATCCAGGTCTGTGACATGGAGAACAGAGACCCAAATATTTGAGCCATCACCTGCAGCCTCCCAGAGTACACACCAGTAGAAAGTTCTCCCCAGGCTCTGCTCAGGGAAGAAAGACAGGTGCTCCAAGTGGCATCCTCTGAGCCCTGCCCCATCCACAGCCACCACTCCATGCCTCTCTGGCACCTGACAACATTCAAAGACAGCTTTATAATAATGCCTAATCTTCATACCACACACTGCCAAGTATCTAAATATGAGAGTAACAGGCTAGTTCTGCAGATATGAAAGCATTTTGTACACAGATCAGTTATTACAGTATTAAGCTGGAAAAGCAAGAAATCAGAAAACAACTAAAATTAGGTCAATTACACAAACTGTTGTATAGTATAGAACAGATAAGTCAAAAAAAAATGGCAACTTAGTAATTTTAAAAATCTATTTAGCCTTCCTTTTCAATCATATGCCAAAACAAAGTTTTAGATCAACAATTTTTACAAGCAGAGAAAGAGCTGAGGTTAGCAAACAGAGGAGTTGAGTGTTTATCACCGTGTTCCCACAGCCTCCCCCGCGGCTGGTGCAGTCAACCAGGAAACGCTGCCCCAAACATAAGACACTAATTTGAGTTCCAACCTTGCCACTAATCTACCGTGCATTCTTGAGCAAACTGTTTTGCTCCCTTGTCCTTAATTTTCCATTTCTTCAGAGTAAATGATAATGCTACCAGCAAGATGAGAATGTTCATTACAAACTTTCAAAGCTATATCAATTAACATAAGGAATAAAAACTGAAAAACCACATTCATCTAAGTTGTTACTCCTCAAATACACTTAGCATTAATATTTTAATGCTAAAAATAATGCCAATATTCTTAGTAAACATCTTTACTTAAAAAAGCATACTACCTCAGTTGTAAAGAACTACTTACACTTTCCCTCAGGGCCTCAGTAAAGAAATTTTAATTTAGAATGGGAAAAAGATGTAGCCCATAAACACACTTATTTTTCCTGAATTGGTTCTTTTACCAGAAAAGGTCTGGCCTTGCTACTCTGAGGGATTTGGGAGGTTTCACTGCTTACTGCAAGGAAGCCTAAAGGCAGAAGATAAACCATGAAGTCCTCACAGGGCAGGGTGGGAGGATGAGCATTGCAGAACCCCTGATATGCCACTGAACAAGCTATTTGAAAATGTCAACCTTTATCACACAAACAAAAGTAGAATGTGGTAATATGCATAAAGCCCCAAGAGTGCAATCACTTTGTCAGTTAGCAAGCTTTCACACAATGCTCATTTCTCTTCTCTTCCCGCTGCTCTCCCAGGAAGCTATACTTTCACTGACTTCTTTAGCAATACCCTCTCTACTCTGCCCCTAGGAGAAGCCTGTCACTCCAGTTAAAGGTATTTGCAATCATGGGCAAAGGGCCTTCAAAAGTTCGAAAGTGAATATTGTAAGTAACCGTGCATGAATCCCCAAAAAAACTGTACAAAAATAATCTTTAATTTCATTTTCCTATGAGCTCTGAAATGCTCACATATTCTGCCACTAAACCTGAATCAGAGCTGGGCTTTGCGCAGTGGCCTAGCAGCTAAAGTCCTCACCTTGAACGTGCCATGATCCCACATGAGCGATGGATCTAATCCGGGCAGCCCCGCTTCCCATCCAGCTCTCTCATTGTGGCCTTGGGAAAGCAATAGAGGACGGCCCAAAGCCTTGGGACCCTGCACCCACGTGGGAGACCCAGAAGAGGCTCCTGGCTCCTGGCAATAGTATTGACTCAGTTGTAGCCATTGTGGACATTTGGGGAGTGACCAGCAGATGAAAGATCTTTCTGTCTCTCTTCTGCAAATCTGCTTTACCAAAGATTTTGTTTTTTGTTTTTTAAAAAAAATCTTTTTTTTTATGAAAACATTACTATTACCTCTATTAACACATGAGGGCCACAGTGGCCAGCCAGACAGGACCCAACAGTCTCACCAGAGTGAGCAGCGGCTGCCAGCAGGCTAATATTCCTCCCCTCATCCTCTCCCTCAGCATTGTCTGCTCCCACCTCCTCATCATCCTTCTCCAGGGCAGCCATGTCCTCACGAGCCTCAGAAAACGCTCCCTCCTCCATGCCCTCACCCACGTACTAGTGAACAAAGGCATGCTTGGCATACAACAAGTCAAATAATATTTTTTTTAAGTTTTGGGCCCGGCAGCGTGGCCTAGCGGCTAAAACCCTCATCTTGAATGCGCCGGGCCCGGGATCCCATATGGGCACCGGTTCTAATCCCAGCAGCTCCGCTACCCATCTAGCTCCTTGCTTGTGGCCTGGGAAAGCAGTCGAGGACGGCCCAAGGCTTTGGGACCCTGCACCTGTGTGGGAGACCCTGTGGAGGTTCCTGGATCCTGGGTTCGGATCGGCATAGCATCAGCCGTTGCGCTCACTTGGGGAGTGAACCATTGGACAGAAGCTCTTCCTCTCTGTCTCTCCTCCTCTCTGTATATCCACCTTTCCAATAAAAGTAAATAAATAAATCTTAAAAAAAAAGTTTCAATTGCCTTTCTTTGATCTTTCTGGCCCTGATATTATGATTTCTACTGAACTCCTCATATGTATAACTTCATTTACCTTTTGCCTGTGTTTCTTTTAGTTGTAAGTTATCCTTTATCATGCACAACATATATATTTTTACATGTTTATCTGGAAGGCAGAGAAATACATGAGAAAACAAAGACAGACATACAGAGAGATACTCCATCTGCTAACTCAGTCCCCACAGCCCACAACAGCCAAGCTGGGTCAAACCAGAGCCAGAGGCCAAAATAGAGTCTCCTGCAGGGATGGCAGAGGTCATGAATACAGGGGCCATCATTTAAAGCTTCCCAAGGTGCATCTGCAGGAAGCTGGATCAAAGGAGGAGCCGGGGCTCATACAGGTACTCCAACAGATACGGGATGAAGTATCCTAAGTGTGGCCTAACCCACTGGGCCACAACACCCACTCTGCAAGTTATGTCATTCTTTATATTCTGTCCGTCACATGAGATAAACCAGTTTTCACATATTTCATCTTTTTTGTTTTTATGGTGTTGTTCTGATTTGGCTTATTTTTTCTACTATTTTACTGGGAAATGCACCTCTGTTAAAGCATTTCAATATTGTTCTTATCTCATTCATATCTTGGTTTTATTTATATAGACACACATACATACATATACATATATATATTCTTAGATTTATTTGAAAGAGTAACAGAGAAAGAGAAAAAGGTAGGGGGAGAGATTTTACATCCTTTGGTTTATGCCACAAATGGCCACAACAACTGAAGCTGAACCAAACTGAAACCAAGAGTCAGGAACACCAACTGGGTCTCCCACATGGGGGATAAAGAACTCAAACACTTATGCCTCCCTGGTGTAAAAGCAGGGAGCTGGCTCAGAGGCAGAGTAGCTGGGACCTGCTGTGTCACAATACAAACTATACATATTTAAATTCTATCCAGTCATTCAACAAATATTGACTAAGTATCACCTACGCACCAAATGCTAAAACCATCACAGAGTTCATCTTCCAGATGTTCACAATCTGTAGGTTGGAGTGATAAGGCAGTATATATTCTTCCTACCAAACTATGAAGACTATGAGACAAAAGTTATCTGAAGCAATAGTTAGCAAAGACCTTTTACAGTGCTAAGAAAATAAATATTTAGCACAACACATTCAAGGTACAATATAAAAAGAAAAGATTTCTCTTCTGTTTTATAGATACTATCAGTAATTCTGGATTTTAACAACATAAAAATTACCAAACCTCACATCCACTGTATTATTCAACTCATGATCAAACACTTCGAACGCCTCTTTGATTTTTTTGTGTAATTCTGCTACTACCAGCTCTGCAAAAAAACAAAGCAAAAAAAAAAAAGATAAAATAATCTCATTTTAATTTTTAACTTACAACAAAAATGTCAGTAACTAAACAAAAACCTCTTTTTTATGACTTATTTCTTTTTATTTGAAAGGCAGACTTACAGAGAGGAAGAAAGACATTCACTGGTTCACTACCTAAATATGGTTGCAATGACTGCCAGAGCTGAGCCAATCCAAAGAGGAGTCAGGAGCCAGGAGCTTCTTCCGGGTCTCCACACAGGTGTAGGATCCTAAGTTTTTAGGCCATTCTCTGCTGTCTTCCCAAGCCACAGGCACGGAGCTGGATGGGAAGTGGAGCAGCTAGACATGAACTGACGCCCATATGGGATGCCGGCATTACAGATGAAAGATTAGCTTGCTACACTAAAGTGCCAGGTCCACTAAACAACAATCTTTTTCAGATGTACAGGGAGGAGAAGAGACAAAGAGGAAGAGCTTCCATCCAATGATTCACTCCCCAAGTGAGCGCAACGGCTGCTGCTGAATGAACCAATCCAAAGCCAGGAGCTAGGAACTTCTTCCAGGTCTCCCACACAGGTGCAGGGTCCCAAGGATTTGGGGCATCCTCGACTGCTTTCCCAGGCCACAAGCAAGGAGCTGGATGGCAAGGAGGGCCTCCGGGATTAGAACCGGTGCCCATATGGGATCCCAGCACTTTCAAGGCTAGGCCACAGCACCGGACCCTAAACAACAATCTTCACACAGGTAAACAAACAATTCCTTCCTAGTTTTACATAGTGTTTAGTCTAGCTTCAACTGGAGCTGTCAAATAAAAGAATAAATCAATTTCTACCTAAAAAAAAAATCTAATTTAAAAAAAAACTTTTGGTAATCTCGATTTTCAAAAATGATTTATTTGAAAGGTAGAGTAACAGAGAAAGGAAGAGACAGAAAGATCATTCATCTGCTGCTTCACTCCCCAAATGCTCACAACAGCGAGGGCAGGGCCAGCCTAAAGCCAGGAGCCTAAATTCCCTCCCCATCTCTCATGTGGGTGGTGGAGAGGCAAGAGCTTGCGCTATCATCACCCAATTTCCCCCCAGGTGCATTAGCAGCAAGCTCAACCAGAAGAAGCAGGACTCAAGCCAGCACTCCTGTGCAGGGGTGGGTACGCCAAGCAGCAGCCCCACGCACAGCCTCGCAATGCTCACCCTACTCTAACCTACAGCTTATGGACGGACATGCTCATGGAAGCACCATGCAGATCCAGGGTGTATTTTCCAGCACCGTTCTTCCACGTCAGGAAGCCCGGGCGGTGGCAGTCTGAGAGCAGAGTCATTCCAATGCAACAGATGCCATCTGCTCATCAGAGTAGTGTGCCCTGCCTGCTTTGCTTCCTTTCATGATTAAAAGGCCTGATTTGGGAGGCAAATGAATAAGTTTTTAGAAATTTTGAGATGTTCAAAGTGTTCATCAGGGACAGGAGGGGAAAAAGTCAACCAGGAACTACAAAAACTTAAAAATGGAAAAAGGATTTAGAAGTCCTTGACCGCTATGCTACCATAATGTCTAACATGCCTAGGCAGTCATTGGTCAGGGTCTGGTTTACTACTATATACTACACAGATTAATGAACACTTATTTCATCCTATAAGAAGTACCTCATCGATTATGGTTATATTAAAATCTATTCACATGGGGAAGGAAGAAAAAATGTGTTCACAGAACTAGCAATATGGCTAGCACACTAAGCCTCCATCTGTGGTATCAGATTCCCTGTTCATGTTCCAGCTGCTCAACTTCTGATTCAGTTCCCTGCTTACATCCTGGGAAAGCAGCAGAGAGGGGATCAAATCCTTGGGCTCCTACACCCATATTGAAGACTCAAAGGAGGTTCCTGGCTCCTGGCTTTGGATGGGCTCAGCTCCAGCACTGTGACCACTTTGAAGTGAAGCAACAGATGAAAGATCAATTTCTCTCTGTCTCTGCAACTCTGCCTTTCAAGGGAAAAAAAATCTTTAAAAAAAATGAGTCTGGTGTGGTAGCCTAGTAGAAATAGTCCTCACCTTGCATCTGCTGGGATCCCATATGGGCATCAGTTCTAATCCTGGCAACCCTGTTCCCAACCAGCTCCCTGCTTGTGGACTAGGAAAGCAGTCGAGGATGGCCCAAATCCTTGCACCTGTGCGGGTGACTTGGAAGAGGCTCCGGGCTCCTGGTTTCAGATCGACTCAGCTCCGGCCATTGTGGCCACTTGGGGAAAGAATTAGCAGATGGATGATTTCCCTCTCTGTCTCTCCTCCTTTCTACAAATCTGACTTCACAATAAAAATCAATAAATCTTTTTAAAAACTTAGTTCTTTCAGCTAAGTCAAGAGAACTGTAAATAAAATCAAAATTCACAAGTTACCCTGGCTACGGTGAATTTTCTTGCATTAGTGCATATTTAAAGCGTAAGTGAGAAAATGATAGGTTGATAATGAAAGTAATTATATTTAATTCTTAATTACATCTATTTCAATATCAGAAATGTTATTTTGAAAATTGAATAAAGCTAAGAAGTTTAATATGCAACTTTCCCAAAAAACATATGCAATTTTGGTGAGCTTGGGAGAGAATACTTGCAATTGTTTGATTATTCAGTTTTGTAGAAACAGTATGTTCAGGGCCAGTGAGATGGCTCAACTGGTGAATCCTCCACTTATAAGCACTGGCATCCCGTATGGGCACCAGTTCATGTCCTGGCTGTTCCTAGTATGTTTTTAAGTGTATCATATTGCTGAAGGCTTACTTATCTTGATTTTTTAAATCTATTTCACTATTTTTTTTTCTTTATTGGAAAGGCAGATATACAAAGAGGAGGAGAGACAGAGAGGAAGAGCTTCTGTCCAATGAGTCACTCCCCAAGTGACTGCAACGGCTGGTGCTGTGCTGTTCCAGAGCCAGGAGCTAGGAACCTTCTCTGGGTCTCCCACATGGGTGCAGGGTCCCAAGGCTTTGGGCCGTCCTCGACTGCTTTCCCAGGCCACAAGCAGGGAGCTGGATGGGAAGTGGAGCTGTTGGGATTAAACCCAGCGTCTATATGGGATCATGGCACGTTCAAGGCGAGGACTTTAGCCGCTAGGCCACGCTGCCAGGCCCAGGCTTGTACCTTTTTATACTGCTTTTTAAAAGAATTGTTTGTTTGTTTGTTTATCTATTTATTTATTTGAAAGACAGAATGACACAGAGAGACAGAGATGAGATCTTCCACCTGCTGGTTTATTTCCCAAATGCCCATAATAGCCAGGATAGGGCCAGGCCGAACCCAGGAGCTAGGAACTCCACGTCAGATTCCCACGCTGAGTGGCAGGAACCCAACTACGTGGTCCATCCTGGACTGCCCCACTAGCATGAGGAGGGCTCAGAAGCACTCTGACTCAGGAAGCAGACATCCTAAGCTGCAGCTTCATCCACTGCCTCACAGCACTGAGCATAAAAACACACATCTGATTACATCACTTTCCAGCTTTAAAACCTTCAGAAAGCCCCATCACTCACAGGAAAAAAGTCCCAGATTCTCAGCAACACAACAACAACCTTGTCAATTTGTCTTGCCTTGTTCTTGACACCACAGACACGATTCTCAACAATTAGAGAACTAGTACCAGGTCAATTACATGACAATCACCCAGGAGCTGGTTTCAAGTATAGACGTACATGCTATGTTCTGTCCTGCAAATTCTAATTCTGATGCACTATGGGATGGGATGTGGGAGGAGCCAGAAATCTATTTTCACAAAGCTCCTTGGAGTCTCCTGACAAACTGCCAAGCTCGGGAACCAGTCCAGCCATGTAACTCAGTTTACACAGAGCATCAGGTTTTGCATACAGAAAGACCCCAAACAATCTCTCTTCTGTCCTTCACAGGCTAAGTGGCCTTGGGCAAGTTACTTACTTTGCCTAAAACTACATTTTTTTTCTTAAAATTGAAGCAATACATTACTCAAATAACTTCATAAATATACAATGAGAAAATAAATGTAGAGTTTTTAGTACGCATATATGAACAGATACTAAGTATGTATTTACACGTTCAATACAATGCTGACTGCTAATATTTAAGCACTTTATTTAATACTTACCTGTTCAAATCGTCTCCACCTCCTCTTCCTTTCCTAGCTTTGTTCATGCTCTTCTCTGCCTGCTCTTCCCACGCACCTCCATTTGTTTTTCCCTGCCGGCTTCCAAATCTTTAAGTTTCTACTCCTACAAATCTCGTCCACCAAGCCTCTCTCTGCACTTCCCACCCCCGATTTTCCTTCCCTCATTCTCTAGTTTGAGCCAAGTACACACCCTCTGAAACTCCACAGCATCCTGTGCTTACCCCTCTCTTTATTAATTAAATGATATTTTGTCTACCATTTTCTCTATATGACTCTTCCATATAGTAATTATTATTTAAGAATTTTGTGATTATTTTCTAAATAATAATCTTACCAAAGATTATTATCACTAAAGACACAGTGAGGAAGACAATAGATATGTGCTGATCATCTAATGGAAAAGTTAGATATTAGGTAAACTACACAAATAATTATGATTATAGTTGAATCAATGCACTGTGATCAGTAATCTGCATGTCTTTCCCCAATTAAATACTAAATTCTCAAAGATCTTTCAAATTCATCATATTTCAGCAGTGTCTGACATAAAAGATTATTAATACACAGTCTTAACTAAAGAGAAGAAAAAGCTTAGTTAATGAAAGAAGGTCCAGAAGAATACAAGAGTAGGTGGAACCATGAATACAAATGGGAGGGTGATTCGGTACAGTGCAATTAGCTAATCCTCTTCAAGTGCCAGCATCCCATATGGGCACCTGTTTATGCCCTAGCTGCTCCACTTCCCATTCAGCTCCTGCTTATGGCCTGAGAGATCAGTGGAGGATTCTCAGAGTCTTGGGCCTCTGCACCCACGTTGGAGATGCAGAGGAAGCTCCTGGGTCTTGGCTTTGAATTGGCACAGCTCTGGCTGTTGTATCCAT